TATTTTGAATTAAAGGCATCCTTGTCATTCCTCCAACAAGTACAACATCACTAATATCTTTTTTTCTTAATTTTGCATCTTTCATACATTGAATACAAGGATATTCTGTTCTTTTACAAATTTTTTTACATAATTCTTCAATTTTTCTTCTATTAATTGTAATTTCAAGTGAATCTTGTCCATCAAGATATGGTAATGAAATTATACTTTCTTCACTTGATGATAATTCACATTTTACTTTCTCTGCTACTTCTTTAATTCTACTAATTCCTTTTTTATTTCCTTGAAGATTTCGTTTATATTTTCTTTCAAATTCTTTCGAAATGTATTGACAAATAGCTTTATCAAAATCTTCTCCTCCAAGCATTGTATCTCCATTAGTTGCTTTAACTTGGAAAATTCCTTTATTAATATTAAGAATAGAAATATCAAATGTTCCTCCTCCAAGATCATAAACTGCAATATTCTTTCCTTCATTTTCTTTTCTTGTATCTATTCCATATGCTAATGCTGCTGCTGTTGGTTCATTAATAATTCTTTTAACTTTTAATCCTGCAAGTGTTCCTGCATCTTTAGTAGCTTGTCTTTGTGCATCATTAAAATATGCTGGACATGTGATAACTGCTTCATCTACTCTTTTCCCTAGTTTAGCCTCTGCATCTTTTTTTAATTTCTTAAGAATCATTGATGAAATTTCTGTTGGAGAATATGTCTTCCCATTAATATGAATCCATCCTTCTCCATTCCTTCCTTTAACAATTTTATAAGGTCTTCTTTCTTGTTTATCACTTTTGTATTGACACCCTATCATTCTCTTAATTCCACTGATAGTAGTTGTTGGATGTAATGCTTCCATTCGTTTTGCTGCTTCTCCAACTAATATTCCTGTTGGTGTAAAAGAAACACAAGATGGTGTTGTTCGTTTTCCTTCTGCATTCTCAAGAATTCGAGGTGTTGTTTTATCAAAAACACACATACATGAATTTGTTGTTCCTAAGTCAATTCCAATGCAAGTTGACCTTGTAGGTTGTGAGATGAACATGATAATAATTTAGTTCTTGTGAGATGAAATTAACTTTCATTTTCTTGAACTTTCCGATAAATAAAGTTGAAAAGAAGATTTTTTAATCTTGAAATCAAAATGAATATTAATGCAAAAAGAAATACCACATGAAATCATCCAATTACTTGATGGAATTAAGTTTCAGAATGAAAAAATCTTTGAGATGCAAGAAGAACAAGTTCAATGGAATAAACAACATGCTATTAATCTTAAATGTATCTTAGACAAAATCAATGAGATGTATCAAATCATTAGAGACTTTAAACAAACAAAAACGAAGTCTATTCAACAAAATCTTAATACTCGTCCATCTCTTACCACTACTTTCACTCCTAAATCAATCAATAACTCATTACAAATCATCCCTAATGAAAGTTCATCCAAAAAGAGAATTTCTAGTCCTATTATCAATAAATCCTCTCATACTACTAATGTTAAAAATATTCAAAACACACAAAGAACAAATCCAGTTCAATCATTGGTTGATCTTCAAGATAATTTACTTAAAAGAACTAAAGAAATATCAAAAACACCAACAAAAAGACT